TTTGTTTTCACAAGCCCTAGAAAGTGTAAATTCTACTAAATGAATTGATGTCATGAATGATGAGTTGAAATCAAAGGATCAGAATGAAATTTGGGATTTTATTGAATTGCCTAAAGATACAAAAATGTTTATTATTCTAAGGGCAATACAAAATGATATAATGCTAGATATGTGGTCAAAGAAGTTTAATGCTCAGATAAGAAAGTAATATGGTAATCATAAAGAATGAAAGATTACTTGCTCACATTTATTAGGTCTGATAATCTTGAATTGATTAATTACTTAGATTCATACTTTAAAAGATGTATTGATAGTAGAAAGTTCACTTTTAGTTTTGTCTTTCTATTATGCAGAAGAGCAATATCAAGAAAAGTGTGAAACAAACTATCATAAATATCTCCTATGAAAGTTAAATTTGTGGTGTGCTTTGAGACCATAATTCATAAATTGTCATTGCGGAACTTTATCTTTGGACTTGGTATTGTCGACTTTGTTGTCAAGTCGTTGAGAATTTATTATGAAAATTTCGCAATTGTTTTATTTTTGTTGAATGACAAGTATTTTAATGATGCTAAACACATATAATTGAAATACTTTGTCGTTAAAGGAAAATTTCAGAAACAGAAAGTGTCAATAAACCATATAAATGGACAACTTTTAAGTACAAATCTACTGATAAAAGAATTACTATTCAAGACAATTAAGAAATTTGTCAATTGAATGTCTTCCACGTAATCCGTAACAGATGTTTATGTTTTTATAGACTGCTTTATGATTGATTATGTTATTTGACACTTTGAGATCTCATTAACTATATTTTTGATATATTTCCTGTTATGAATGGTATACATAAATATATGAGAATGAATTAATAATAACAAGAATAGTCTTTGATTAAATATATATATATATATATATATATATATATATAAGTGGGACATATTCAAAACACTTTTTCATAACAAATAACTTAAAAGACTATATTAAACTAGTTGCTAGTGTTGTGGTACATGGAAGGGATTATGTTGCAATATTGATGTAGAACTGCCATGACTTGCATTAGTGAATTATTTAATTACAGTATTATGATGATGACTAAATTAAAGTGAGGTTGGATGTGGCTTATTGTGCGCGTAATGTTTACCTTATTAAATCGTTATGTATGTTATTGTATGGTCCAAGTAAAAGAATATAAGATTAAATTTAATTATTTAGTCCTTATGGTGACCCACATGATATGACAATACGAATTATAGGTTTAATAGGTTCCACATCTTAAATTATAAACTATTATCTGATTGGTGAATAGATGGAATAATTTTCAAGTCTCCTATTTTGATGGGCAAGAAGAATTATAATTGTATTATACTTGTCCTCTCTCTACCTATAAAAATAGATTTAGATCACCCTTCAATTAATTTGAATTTAATATATTCAAATGAGGATCAAGAGAGAGAAACATTTTTCATAAATATTGAGTTCATGTTCAATCAATTTTGGTTTACTCGAACGGATGTGCTATTTATTTTTCACATTATATTATTATTTATAAAAATCATGATAACTCATGATTATCAATTATAAAAATTGTCATATACATAACACCACTAAATTATGTACAAATGCATGTCAAATCGACATGGTTTTGGTGCACTACAAAAAAATAAAAATAAAAAATAAATAAATAAATAAATAAAAAATACTATAGAGGATTTGAACTCTTTTGGCAGGCCTCCACCCGACCATTTACCTCTGGAAAAAGGTAATTCAAATGAGTCATTAAAAAACTTTATGAATTTTAATGCGCCAAAAAAAAAAAAAAAAAAAAGAAAAAAAAGAAGGATATAAGGTTTAATAAAAAGGAAGTTTCTCTCGTGTTGAAATTTCAATATGAGAGAATTTGAGAGATTTATAGGGCCCACTATAAGTTCCGTTTTGATAATTTAAACCGTTCACTTTGCAGGACCTTAAATGTATAATATCAACGAAAAAATTTAGGTCAATTTGATAATCATAACCTTTTCATTTTATAGCATTTTTTTTTTTAAAAATGGATGGTCTATTCTAAAAATATATTTGTTGTCAATTTTTTCGGAAACAAATGCAATAAAATGACAAAGTTATGATTATTTGGTTTCAAACTAATTTTTTTTTTTTTTTTTTTTATGAATATTATACATTAAGGGCCTTACAAAATGAACGGTTTAAATTATCAAAACGAAATTATTGATAGACCTTATAAGTCCCTAAAATTTTCTCATATTAAAATATCAATATGGGAGAAGTCCAACATTTCATAAAATGCACTTCATCCCAACTTTGCAATTAGAAGGAGGCATAGTTTTAATGAAGGTTGCACCAACGAAAGCCAAAAACAAGTTCTACAGTCAAGGATGGATCCAGGGGCGGACAGGTGCAATCGCACCGTCTAAAAAATATCAATATTATAATAGTAAATTGTAAAATAATATCAAAGTTGCAATGTCTTGGAGGTGGTGCCAGCGTCATGTTTCCTCTATAATGGACTTCATGAGATGATGGATGGTTGGATAATTTGTACAGAATAGAAACATATTTTTAATGGGCCAAGCAGATTGAGCTGGATTTGCAGGGCAAAACGCCATGGTGAACTGGGAGGGGCATGGCTAAGGGGCTTTAGGAGTTAATGCCCATGATTTGTGTCACTCCAAGAAGACCAATTATTTTGTGGAATAAGAGATGGGCTGATTAGGCCTAAGTTAAGCCTCAAAGCCTTTGGGCCTGGTCCAGTACCTGGACCTGGTGGAATCATTTTTCGGGACCAAATGAGACCTATTTGGGGCCAGTCCAAAGGTGGTTCTTCCTCTCATATGCATGAACTGAATCACCCGGACCAAACCCCATTGTGCGTGGGGAGGGGCCTGGCTAAGGGACTTTAGGAGTTAATGCCCATGATTTGTGTCACTCCAAGAAATTTTGTGGAATAAGAGGTGGGCTGATTAGGCCTAAGTTAAGCCTCAAAGGCTTTGGGCATGGTGGAATCATTTTTCCGGACCAAATGAGACCTATTTTGGACCAGTCCAAGGGTGGTTATTCCTCTCATATGCCTAAAATTACAAGCCAGATATGGGTCAAACGTTGTTGACAACCTCCAGCTAGGGCTGTTCGAACAACCAAATCATCCAACCAAACCATCTGACCCATTTGATCTGATTGGAAAAAGAGACAATTGCAACCAACTTTCGGCTGCGGTTTACAAATTTACAAAATTTCAATTTCACAGTCGATCAATGGTTTTAAAACTAAACAACGGCGGAAACCGAACTGACCGAAACGTTGCTATACACGTGTTTTCATTGGACTGGTTTAACAAATTGCATCCTTATCACCTTGTCTTTGCATCCCAGATTTGTTATTTATGTGGCATTGATTGAGTAGTTGGAAATTTAAATTTATCTTTTGACATTTCAATTGTCTAAATGCTGAATTCCAATTTTCAATGTAATTTAGATCTCACTTATCTAATAAAATGTTGTTAAGATCTCTCAAATTCCAATCTCTTCTCTCCAGTAAATGAAAACTTATCTAATAAATTATCTGTGAATTGATTACATGTGCAAGCAATACTCAGCTATTGTTTGGTGGCCTAGGAGCTTTAAACTTTGGCCCTCTCTTGGTTTAGTGTGGCTTGGGTGTTCCTGGCAACTCCAATGACGTAGTTGTTGAAGAGGGAAAAGGGTGGGAAAGAGAAATAATTGGATTATTATCCAGCTTGACTTAATGTGGCTTATTTAGTTAGCAGGATAGGAAACATAAGACAATTTGATAGCACCGAATATTCCGCATCCTTGCCTGTTATATTGATGTACCTTATTTCTAGTATTTTGTATATTTGGGACTTGGGAGGAGTGTAATCTTTCTATTGGCCAATGTTACATGGATTCTTAAAAATATATCAAATATCCATTTTGGACACTTCACACTTGGATTAGGGTTTGGGATATGTGTCTCACACTTGTAATTGAACACTTCTTGTGAGAAACTAAATTGGAGTTTATATAAATTTACATAAATTTTCATAACCGTTATGAGGGTGAAGTGCCTCTTTCCTTCTCCTATCTCTTCATCTTTGCGTATTACTGTTCACCTCCCTCAAAAGTGCCCTTTTCAGCAGCTAAACCCTAGCTGATCAAGTACAAAACATCCCCAACCTATTCCCCTACCTATCAGCCACTAATTTAACCTTAAAATCCATAAATCAGTGCTATCCAGTCCCTTTAATTGTGCTATTTCAGAAATGAAGCAATCTGCAAGTTATAGAAATCAATTCAATTCCACTCTCTTCCTTTTCACAAACACAAATCTTTCTTCTACCTCTTACAACACTAACCCTAGAAGCTTTTCAAGACCAAAACCCAGACACCCACACCCACGACTGACACCCATATCCAAAAAAATGTACACCATAGGTCTAGACCAATTATAGAATTTGTAGAGCCTTTGGATATGCAAGGGCGTCTAAATTGCCTTTTGGCAGTGGCATCTTTTCATACACAGGAAGCGTTCCCACAGGGGCCTTGGTTTACAAAACTGCTTACTTATCAAAAAAAGAAAATTTAAGATAAATAATTGAAGGGTGTAAGAAAAATCCCAAAATTTGGCGTCTTTAATCTCAAATTACTACATTTTGTTGCAATTTTTGGAACCCTTGAATCCCCATAATTCACCACCCATCGAAAACCAACGTCACCCACCCAAAGCCTATTTTTCAATTGTGATTTATTAGGCTTGGGTTCACTACTAGTAGGAGCAGTTAACCTCATCTCGTCCTACATTGTAGGTCATTAACTTATTTTGTCACTTCACGCTTCTCTTTCTCTATCTTCCAGCTATAGGCCTTGCAAGGAAAAATAGAAGGCGAAAAAAGCTGTTTGTTATGGCACAAATCATCCACATAACAAAACACCCAGCAACACAAAACAATAAAAATAACAGTAAAAACGTAACAAATATTTTCTAACCTGTGGGGGGAAAAACACATTTGTTTGCTGCAGCATGGGCAAGCGAGGACTCCATGACTGAGACAACTTAACTTCTGTAAGAAAGCATGTCACAAACTCACATACCATTTTCATTTCTTTATAGTTAATTATGAAGCAAAAGAAAGTTTCAATTAGAACTCAATAAATCACCTAATTGAGTCTCTATGCACTTGGTAGGGGAATCATAGGAAATGAACCTGTAAAAAAAAAAGGGTAATCTCAAGTATGAACTAGCCATTTAATGACATAATAGTTTACATACCTATACTGAACCACAAAAGTCATAGATCAATAATGTGCATAAAGAGAAGAAACACAATCCAAAAAAGAAAACAAATGTTAAAGTATTAGGTTCCCAAACCAGTCTCTACTGCTAAAATCTAAGTCTCCAGCCTTCAAGTTAAAGCCAGCTTCCACAAGCCTCAGAGCAATATCTTTCTCCACTTGTTTTCTCCGCACCTATAAGGAGAACCAAATGATTACTTTATGTAATAATGTGCTGATATGCATTACTGCACATGGGAGTACAATTTTGTTACTTTAACAACATATAATCATAAACTTATATCTCCATGAGGAAGTTGAGATATCCCACTAGAGAAACTGTGATTTTTACAAGCAGATACTAATGGAAGAGTGGCTAGAGAAGCTGGGACCTCCATCTCGTTATTTAGTGTTTGGATATTGGATTTGGGAAGGGATTGCAAAGAGAGAAGGAAAAAAAAAATAGCTTCTACTTTATTAATCTTTTCCCATGTTTCCATTTCATTTTACTATCCTACTATAAACTCACCCACAAATCCAAAATGCAAACACAATCTTGGAGAACAAGATACTAGTTACGAAATCAAGAATCGTGAATTGAAATCCTATTGGTTGCAAAAATTGAGAATCATAATATTTAGCACAACTATAAAAAAATCAACTTAAACAATTCATAAATACAAGAAAAAAATAAATATAATTATTTTGAGGCCATATTATACTATAAAATGTTACAAGGGAGTGATGATGTGTTCTAATTGTGAAGGCATTTGGCTCCGCCACGAGATGTGGATCCAATCCAAATCCCACCCACTGTAGACACCCCATTTTTGACCGTCCTTAAGACTTGGGCACTACTGATGGTTTACTTGGTTGTGAAAGGGGTGCAGAGCAAAAGTTCGATTTCTTCGACAAGAGGAGAGTCAAATCCTAACCTCACACCCCATTTTGGACCAAAACTATTTTGAATGGTTTTTAGACCTTAAAACCCTCTCTTTCAAAACCTTTTTGAAAATAAAGTTCTTACGATGTTCCGACGCTCGCATTTTGTTAAATGTTGCATTTTTTGGCAAACCGAGCAAGGACAAAGTGGAAATAAATGAAAGAGAGATGAAATATTTGAAAAATCTTTCAAAAACGCCTTGTTTAGGGGTTTGGAGTTGAATAAAAGAGGAGAAGAGAGAAGAAACCCAGTCGGGAAAGGAGTTGGGCATGAATCTTTAAGAGAGAGACGAGAAGTCCTCGCCAAATCAAGCCTATCCTTTTGAATACTTGGATTTCAGCTATGAGGCCACCACTGTTGGAAAGCTTACTTCTGGGGCTTCAATTTTCATTCAAGGATCTCCTCGAGCCAAGTCCGGATGGGAGAGATATGGTTGTTGGAAGTTGGGCATCAATCCGGTTGGACCGAAACTGAGCAGTCTTCACTAAAAGAGGGATATCTCTTAGCACACATGGAATTTTGAGGTGAGTCTGCCAAATTTGGAAAGAATACTTCCGGGGCTACAGTTTAGGCTCAAGAATGACCTGAAAAGGCATCCATATGAAGGATTTACGCTTTCTTCAAAACAGGGACTAGGACTGATTTTTGTTGCCGGCCTCTATGGGAGTGTGACGGCCATGATTGGCCAATGCCAGCCAAAAGTGACCCCTGCCGGCCATCAATGAGCCACTGCCTACCATCACTGATGGCCGGCAGCACCCCTCTCTCAGCAGGTTTCACGGCAGATCTTTTGAGCCAGCTGGAATCTTTTAATTTCCGCTCCATACACATGTATGGAGGGATGAAGCTCTTGCCAAGCTTGTTCAAGAAGTTTTGAATTGATTTTCTTCTATATAAGCAAGAGGCCACCCTCTATATCAGGGTGGAGCCATTTTTGAAGAGAAAAATCTCTCTCTCTCTCTCTCTCTCTCTCTCTCTCTCTATATTGTTGGAGTTTTGTGCTTTGAAGTTGGATTTCCTTGCACTTTTACACTACAACCCTTAGAGATACACCACCACCATTGGACAAAGCTTCTTGGGAGGTCTTCTTGAGGTCTGAAAGTGAGTTTCTACCCCCCTGAAGTTGCTGGTTTCGAAGAGGGTCTTCAAGGGTAAGTATTTTCCCCATTTTTGCACTTTCTTGCACCTTGCTTTAGCCCTCTTTTCATATTGATTTAGGCTTTGCTTATAACTGAAAAAAGTCTTGTATTTAAGTCCCTTTTAAGTTTGTTTAAGGTCATTTTGCTGTTAGGGGTGTGTAGCCCTTTTGCATGCTTTGTTTGGCTTGGTTTTAAGCCATGCCTTAAGGCCTCCGAGCTAGCCTTGGTTTGGCCTTCCTACCACTGAAATCCAATGGATTTTCAGTGGTAAAGGTGTGGTTTTGAGGTCCTTAATCAGAGGGGGTGGCCCCCTCTCTTTTGGTTCCTCTTTGCTTGCATTTTTGGCCTTCCAAAGGACCATCCTTCTATTTATTTTTGAGGCTTGGTTCAGGCCTATTTTTGTGACTTTTAGGACCTGCCTTGGCCCTGTCCATGGCTGGTTTGGTCATATTTTGCATGCATATAGCATGTGTAGTGTAACTCTATTCATAGCTCATCAAAGTAGCATGTGTGCTTAGCTTGTATTGAGTCCATTTCAGTGGATTTTTGGTGATGTTTTACCATGCCATGAATCTATTTTGGGTTGGTTTTGTCACTCCATACTTACATAATACACTTGTAGTGTAAATCCCCTAAGCTAGCTTCATATGCTCCATGCTTTGCCATGTCATGTTAGCTTGTTTGGTTTACATTTTAGCATGTATTTGGTCATCATTTGGCATGTCATGACCCTATCCATAGTTGGTTTGATCATCCTTTGCATCCTCCATATAGGTGTAGAACAAATCTTGTTTACTAGCCTTTTGTGCATGATGTTTTGACTCATCATCCTAGCATATTTTGGCTTTGCTCTAACATGATTTTATACTTATTTTGGGTTGCTCTAGGACTGTTTTGGGCTGCCATGGCCATATCACTCGTGCTTTGTATAGCTATAGTGTAAATGCTTAGGCTAGTCTTGGGTTTTGAGGCCCCTACCATGCCATACATGTGATGTTTGCATGCTTTGCCCTCATTCCATATGCTATTTCAGTCCATGAAATGTTGTCATACACTTGCATTTGACATGCCTTGAATGCTTTATAGAGCTTGTGCTTTATGTCTCAAGAATGAGCTTTTGTGCATGCCATTAAGCCTAAGCCTTTGGCTCATCATTTCAGTGCATCCTGGGTCTTATTATACCATGATGTAACTCTGTTTTATGTTATCCAAGTCATGCCATGATTGGTTTCAATAGGTGTAGTGCATTGCCTCTTTAAAGCCTTGCATGCTCCATGTTTTTGGCTGTGTGCTAGCCTATGTTGGCTAGCGTTGAGCTTGGTTTTGGTCTTGTTTGGACTTACCCTAGGACTGTTTTAGGTCCCCTTGGCCCCTTAGGGCTTGTCTTGTATGGCCATGGCTTAAGTCCCTTTGCTTACTTTGAGCTTTGAGCATCATAATATGCTATGCTTGCGTTGTTGAGTTGATTTGGCATCACTTTACATGAGATTTCAGAGCTTACCTCATTGTCATACATTCATGTTTGTTGCTCCTTAAGTGTGCTTAAGAGTTGTCCTCTTTGTGCCTTAATACTTGAGCCACTTGGCATACATGTTTGCCTTGCCATTTCATGCTTTTCATGCCATCAATTCATCACGTTTGGCCACTGATTTGGGCTTAGTTGAGAGCTACCCACATTAGTTTAAGTCCATCCCTTTGCATGTTGTCACATGCTTGTCTTGCATATTGTTGTATGCTTGCTCCATCTTTGCATGTTGTAGCATGCTAGCCTCATTACATGTTGTTGCATGTTCATGTTACATTTTGTCATGTTGTCCAAGGTTGTTACCTCACATCATGCATATGTGCTTGTTGCATGCCATTCGCCTTGTTAGGTTGTTCATATTGCATGCTTGCCATGCTTACGTGTTGTATTGTTTGGATTAAGTGTTAATCCGAGCACAAGAAACGAGGGGCGTTTCATACTCCGAGTGATGGAACGTGTCTCAATTCTCGGTCGCCGAAGCTCTTGATGATTCATGATAGAGTTCTAGGCTTTACTTGCTTTATTTGTGCATTCATTTTCATATTGATATGCATAAGTTGGATCTTTGGCCATCATGCATCGGGATGCGTGATTGATGGTCGTGGATCCGACTAGGCCTCTCCCTTGATGTTTTGAGGTGACTTGGGGTGGCATAGTGCATACATACCCTTGGGAGACCCTCTCTTTCCTCTATTTCGTGCTTTGTTGCAGCTTGGTGTCACAGCACACCAGTGGCCGGCAGTGCACCACTGATGGCCGGCAGTGTCACACCCTTGGCCGGCAGTGCCCTGTTGTTGGCTGGCAGCTCTCCCTCCATGGCCGGCAGGCCACTGGTGAACTCTCCAGCAGTGTTTTGGTAAGTCTCAACAACAAGCACTGGAAGACACCCTGCAAACAGAGCCTCTAAAGAGCAACCAGAAGGCGTTTCAAGGCGAGGAACCAAAGCGAGCATGCATACCTTCCTCTTCTCCAAACAGAGCTGGAATAGCATTCATTTACTGCTTACTTGTTAGTACTAGTTGTGTAATAATTAGTTGTAGCTAGTTATTAATTCCTTTTTGTAATAATTAATTAGCTTGTGAGTTAGTTAATTAGGCGATTTGTATTATTCTTTCGGACCCTCCGAGCGAGGGCACAATTGTAATAAGTGTGCGTGTGTGTGATGTATGTCTTCCAACCCCACGTCTTTCTCCCTTTTATTTACCAGCTTATGATGGTTAGATTAGGGCATGTTTCAATTAGCATACTTATGCTTGTATGTTTGCATCATTCATCTGTCTTGCATGCACCGAGCTCGGCGCATCATACTAACTGCATCGTATTCCAATTCCAAGTTGAATACGTGTTAGCTGTAGCATCTCATATGTCATTCTTAGAATAGCCGAGCCTATTGTAGTTGCATTTTTGCATGTGTTGCATTAGGCATTTCTGTGTAGTTAGGATCATGCATTGATTTCTAACATAACTTCTATTTTGGCTTGGAGTACTCGGTAAGTGATTTATGCTTTAGCATCCTTGCATGTGTGTGAGTGACTGCCATGATAGCATGTTTACCATGAGGCTATGTGCTTATGTGATATAACTGCCTGAATGCCTATGGGTAAAGGTTGGGTTACTTGGATTGGAACAATTCATCGACTGTGAGTTTTAAGCCCACTTGAAGAGTGGCAAATCATCTTGTTTTCTAAGCCCAACCGAGGGTGGCAAATCCACGTCTTAGCCTACTTGCGGGTAGCA